GAGAAAGTACAACATTTTCACTGCTTGGCAAATGCAAATCACTGGGAAAAAGATCTGTATCACAGGCATGCTGTTGGAAAGTGCAGCAGTAGATACAGAAGTTTTGGGATGTATTTTCTGGTGTTGTTACATTGTCTTTGGTCTTCTCAGTTCAATGGTTTCCTATCAATTTGTTATTCCTGATGACTGAGTTCTTTTTGAGACACAGAAGAAATGAATGACATCTTTATGGCATTTAAAAAGCTAAGGCCTAGCACTGAGTCACCTACAATCTAGTAAAGGAATATATCAGAAGGAGCAATGCTGGCATGAAACACAGCAGTGTGTGCTGTGGCTAAGGGACAGAGAAGGCATTTCTGTACAGAACAGAAACTATGTGGAACATGCTGCTTCAGAGGAATACTACTCTGAAGGTTCCTGCTAATGTGTCATGTTTCAAAGAGTTCATCCTAACCATTTGTGGGTGAAGGTGGCTCTTAGCTCCACTCTGACACGTAGTCTTCCAGAAATCCTTCAGCAGCTGACACGTTTGGTACACAGCAGTATAAAACAGAGTCAACCACAAAACCTGGGGTGGAGGAAGGAGTGTTAGCTTTAAGTCATTGTGCTAAAATGCCATGACTTATTTGGACCTTCACAGCAACAATACCCAGTTTACATGCTACTGTCCTCATGTGCCAGGATGGCAAAAGCAAAGTTTTCATCTTGGTGAAGAAAAAAGAAATCTTTAAACTTAAGTCTTTGGGGCTAAGTCAGACCAAAAAGCAGCTTAGAATAATCTCTGACCATCAGAATCCTAGGGAGAAAGGCCACAAATTTAGCATCTATTACAGATATTTTCCTTGGCCCATCCAACTTGCCAAGTTACAAATTATGGGAGGCATCCTAAGAGATTTCTTACAGATCAGAGTGTTCAACAGTTGTTGATGAATATATTCTCCATTAGCTTTTCCTTATTCCTTCCTTTATCTATTTATACTTTTGAGCATCCATGACAGGTATGATAAAGATTTTCAAGTTTTGTGGAGAAAAAACCCAACCTTTCAACATTTTCCTTGCAAATTCGCTACCTGAAAGCTACACTGGCCTAGTTGTGAGAAGCAGTAATTAATTCTCAGTATCATTCCTGTTTGAATTTATATTAGTTTACTTTTCTTGTTCATTGCTTTAGGCTGTTCCTTTTACTCAACTAACCCAGCACAGATTAAGACATATTTAAGATCTGAACAGATCAGTTTCCAGTACAGTGAAGGATGCATCACTGTCATGGTTTAATCTCTGCCACCAACCAAACACCAATCAAGACACTTGCTCACTCTCCCACCTGCAAGATCACGGAGAGATTAAATGGACCAGAAAAGAATTCTGGAAATATGCCACTGAATGGAGAAGCTTTCATGAAATATAGAGGATTATGGCCAGCATAACAGCAGAGCAGGACAGACACAGAAAAGGACTAAAATGGTTTTAAACATTATGCTCCAAAGTGTCTACAATAAAGCTGCAGCGTACACTTTCTTGGGAAATAAATTCTCTTTTATTAACTGTTTTTAAACCACCAGCAGGTACTTCTCCTATGTGTCCTCAAGTTTACCCTTGTTTTGCATTATCTATTTGAACTGTCCATACAACAAGTGCATGTTAGATAGAAAATGAAACTTTACAATTATTTGTTCTTTTGAAGTATTTCATAAGGAAAGCATAAGGAAAACAAGAAAAACAGAGGTCAGGTTAATATCTTACAGCTCTATCATCTATTTTCAGTCATATTTCTATTTTAAAACAATCTGTTCCTTGCACAGCAACAAATACTTTTTCTGTGCTGTCGTTTGGGTCAAATCTCATGGGTAGCAACACGTATCACTGAATAGTGAACAACTCTGACTTGACAAGCCATTCCCAGGTGCTCTCTATCACATACCAGACCACAAAATGCAATCACACAAGCTCTGTGGTGTTCCTATGTGTGTGTTTTGTTTACAGTCTCCAAGGATGCTGTTTATTTTCCAGGTGGTGCTGACACAACTGATGCCAAGGCAGAACACATTCCAAGAAACTGAAAGCATGTGTTGCCATGGCACAAAGAGTGAATGCATTGAACATTCACTTCAGCAAGGAAGGAGCTCCTTAAAGCATTTTAAAGGCTTATAACTGGACACACAAGCCACTTCCTTTTTGATGTGTAAATAAAATTGTTTATATCATAGCAAAGCAGATAATAATATCCGAGTGTGTATTTTGCTACCATAAGGTTAGTTAAGACAACTTCAGTACTATAAACATGAATATGGCTGTGTCATTTCATTTAGTGTTAGCAATCATCCCTAAAAGCACAATCTAAAGAAGTAGAATATATTTTCCTTTTAAGCAAATCAATAATATTTAAATCCACCCAGCCACTGTGTCTGCAGTCCCAAGACAGGGATCTAGGAATATCACAGAAGAATTCTGTGTCTCCAGAACTGTTTATCTAGAAAGGCAAAGACAAACTTGCTGTGTTTATATACTCAGCTTTGAGATGTATGTCAGTTCCAAATCTATCTCTGCCTAGCATAGCTGGAGCAAAATCAAAATTAAATTGTACTGCTGAATTCAATTCTGCAATAAGGCAGGTCCATACCATCCCAATCCCAGTAAAAAAGCATTTACTGCTGCTTATCCTGAAGTGATTCATGGCTTTTTTTGCTGTTTCTTGTCCTACTTGGCAAAAATATTTTCCTATTTTCTAAACACAAAATTGAGTGTGACTTTCAAAAGCTCAAGTCAGGTCTCTATCATTGCAAAGCAATATAAAAAGCTCAGATCATTCTTGTACTGGTTTCCATTTTAATTTACTGATTCCAAAAGTGAGATCAGTGATAGCATCATCCAAACATGCTCTTTCATCTTTGCTCTTTGGCTAAGGGGGTTACAAAATACATCTCCTTACAAGTGTAAGGAAAGGCACCATTTTCCCAGCCTGGCACTTTGAAGGCTTCAATCAAACATGTCTTTTATCTTCTGAAACCACTGTATGCACTAGCCATAAATTGATACCTTATTATTTTTGAGTAAACTGGCTTCATACACTACAAAACAAAAATAAAGTACCTGACTGAAGAGGTTCCACTTATCCAATGATATGATCTTTTCAAACCTTTAAAGTCTGCTTTACAACCTTAGTACTTCTGCTTCTTCATGGCTCAATATTTCTAAGCCATGTCACTTAGGCTAAAAAATAGGATCTAGAGGGTATGGCAGGTAAAAAGCTTCTATCCCTCCACGACACTTTTCCTCTCCATACTTAGCCTGTGAGTACTGAGACAGAAATCATGTTCAACAATGCCTAGAACAGTGAGATGAGACCCTGATTTCACACTGATAGGTAGGCTTTGGTCTACAGTTGCAGTAACATTTTATTGTTTATACTGTTCATAAGTGTATCGTTTTCCTGCATAGACAAGAGTGGTCTACATCAGCATGCACTGTGTGAAAACTGTGAAAGGTTGGTAAAACAAGAATTGTATCATTAAAAAAATAATAATAATAAATTCCAGTGGAAGGAATTTGACTTTGTTCTCTTTTCAAATCAGAGCACTTCAAGAAGATCGCTGGAAATTCATAGTAAAGCCCAACTAATACAGCAAGCACACCATGATGTCTGAATAAAGAAGGTTCTAAAGCAAATATCTGGCCTCTCAAGAGGTTTTTCAAAATTTTTCCTCCAATAATCACACAGAACCACAGCTTGTGTGTTTTGTCATCCTGTTCCTAAAGGAGGTACACAGCCATAGATGCAATCTCCCAGAATAAGAGCTTGGGACACACAAAGATGGATCACCTTGCTGCAAATCTTTCAGACAGGTCTAGAGAGAAAGAAGAGGCTTTATTGTCTGTTTTTCTCTAATGCTGAAAGCAATATTTTTAAGATGTATCTGGTCACTCAGCAATGTCATTCTCATGGATTTGGGATGGAATACTCTTAATATATTTTTGCCAGGCTAGAAAAATCCATGAACTTGAATTTATAATACTATATAACAGCACTGACAAATAGCTACCATTCCTTGATAATGTAAATCCCATATTCAGCCAAGAGGCAGTAACACTATGTGACAGAAAAAAATAGAGGACAAAATAGACAATTACTGTGCTCAGGATCACTGCTGGCCCCCCTGAGTATAAGACATTACTTTTTTCATGAGCTAAGTAAAATGTGGGAGAGAATTTACCACCTAACCTAGTAAGCCTGTGGTTGCAGTTTGTCTATATCCCAATATCATTTATAGGAGCCTTCAAAAATTTTAAGTCCAAGTTTCTGCAAATTAAACCCTTTTCATTTCATCTGAGATGTTCAAGTGGTGAAATTGCTAACAACTCTGAAAAAATAGTTTTCAACAAAGCAAAGTATTGCATCTTGACTAAAAATGCAAAGTTAGAATGGGTAAAAATGTAGTTGACAGCTACAAAGCATAGTATGCACTGTTCTTTCTCATGATCTAACAGCACGTGCTAACCTATAATTTTTAAGTGGTATCTCTTAGTCTGATCTGTTTTGAAAGTGTATTCATAATCACTAACATAAAAGTTTTCAAATATAGGCACCTAAGTTTAAGCATTTAAATAAAAATAACCTCTTTCTGAAGAAAAAAGGAGGCTGTGACTGCAAAGAAAGTTGCCAGGCCTCTGATCCTGTGGATATGGAATTAAAGAGTAAGAAAACTATACATGAAGTAATGTGATTAACTTTCCCAGTCAAATTTAAAAGTATTGGTATACATCTTTCCTAGACTGACAGAGAAACTATCAGATAGAAAAATGTATGCATTAAAAAAACCAACATTTTTCAAATGTTAAAAACATATTTTGACACAATCTCTTTAAAAAAAAAAAAAGCCAAGCAACCACAAATATAATATGCTGCAGTGTAATCAGAATACAAATTCATATATTATTGATATATTATATTATATTATATTATTACAGAATAATAATTGGGAAGCAAGTGAAAGAGGTATTACCTGGTACTCTGGAAAGAAGTTGCTAGCAACCACAATCCTTGAAGTGTTATAATAGGTGAGAGAAAAGCCAAAGTCAGACAGACAGTGTGTAAGTGATGGATACTGCTTCTTTCTGCTCACACATATTTCAGCCACAGAGTGTTCCAAGTGCTATTGCCCTACCTGAAAACAAATGCTGATGTTAGTTCAATATCATTTTCTACACCACCTATAGCAACAGCAAACACATATTGAATACTTCAGCAACAGCCTGATGATTCCATTGTCAGAGTTTCAGTTGGCAATCCTTGAGGGCTGTGCAAATGATACCCTGAAATCTGGGTCTTCTGTACCGTGCGCTTTGCCTTGTGCAAATGTTTTATTTCGCAATATAGTTCAACACTATAGAGAAAAATTTTATTTACGCTTTTGAAAACATTGTTTATTTAAGATCTTATTCTACACCTCCAATAGCCTTATAATAGCTTGTGGGTATTGTGCAAAACATTGCACAAACCTTAGTTAATGAACCTTTATAAGATTTCCATGCAAAACTGTATTAGATGTATTAAATGTGGGAAAAGGCAAAGATTAGGGCACCAGAGAGACAAATGTTTTGAGGATACAGTAACTGAGAGAAATGCCATATTCCTCTGGTACAGATTTATTTGCTAAAGTTAGATATCAGGTAAAGGGCTTTGCTGTTTCAAGAACACATGACTTGCTGAAGGCTCAGGAACTGTGGAAATCCAAGATCATATTTAGGAGAGCTTAAGAGCAGTCCTAAATCCTACACTCAGCCCTAACAACCTATGCAAATTATGAAATTCTGTAACAAAAGCTATATTACTCATTTGGAAATACATGACAGGTATGATAATCTATTACTGATATTATTACAGAAAAGCACTGTAGTTTGGAATATTGTTCCATTTAAATTGTTGTTGCAGTTACACAAAAACAGAGGCATACTCTGGTAGATCAAGGTATAATATAATGCCTAAAATACACCACACAACCTATTTACATTTCAGTGTGTAGCTGAACAACTTGTCTGAAATAGAAATAGGTTTTAAAGAACTAGATATCAAAGCATATATCCTGGCCAAGTCCTGAGGTATTTTTTCTTCTTTTTTCAGTATTCTTTCCAGATTTTCTTTCCAGCACCAAAAAAAAAAAAAAGGATACATTCAGAAAAGCATAAAGTAAGTTATATCTACATGAATTCTTTTAGGAGTTACACAATTTACAGTGATCTACCATTAAAATAAATAAACACTCAACTCATAAGATTTTATTTTAAAGTGGAGCAATAATTACTCCTTCCCCCTCTGTGTGTCTGATCTTCTTCAGACCTCCTCCCACATCCCACCTCCTCATTCCACCAACAGAACAGTGACAGATTGTTTCAAATTGAGGAACAAAGTAGCCTCTCCCCAATCCAAGTAAATGACTGCAGAATCCAGGGAACATCATAGCTCTGCATCTGCCCTAAACTTTTCTCTCATTTTAAGAGAGAACCTGCTGTTGAGATGGGATTATGGAAGCCAAGGTGTAAAAGGTGACAATATCTGTACAGCTTGTCTAGGAACGGCAACCAGTGGTCTCAGTGCTTTTATGGTTTTCATAGCCCATGTTTTCTTTCTTAAAATACCAGGAAAAGTGAGATTCTCATCTTTCATTGAGAATAACTGCATCTCCATTTATTGTAGTCACATGGGCAGCTCTGAAGAGACTAACCCAGCAGTGCCCTGACAACTTGCAAGCCAGATACAAATAAAATAAACACCTGAAATTCTTTTTTATAACGTGATTTTTCATTCAGATGGTCAATTATGACTTCTAAGAAGCTTGGAGATGGAACTCTTGACTTTCCCTGACAATGGAAGGGTATAATATTTGATCTGTGTAAGAGCATATATCACAGTATATGTCTGGAACAGAATGTTATTTCCTGGTGTGATTCCACCTTGATCATTTATCAGCAGGTGAGCATAACTTCATATAAACAGTGCATGTAAAAACTGTACTAAACCCTCTATCAAGTAACATACAGAAAAATAATCAGAATACTAATAATATGTGTTCAGACAAACAGTGATATATGGAAAATGGGGGGAAAGTGACAAAACCCTTGAGCTCCCTCTGTGTCTGTGGTTTGTGATCAGAAGCTTGCCTCACTTACCAGGTTTTCTGTTGTGCATGATGATGCCAGCTGCTCTAGTTGTGAAACGTGCCATGGACAGTTTCTACAGAGATCTTTAAAGCAAACAGAAGCGTTTTTAAGCAGTGCCACCCGGAGGTGAAAGAGAGCTTCTCATCCCCAAGGACATCAGGGCTCATTTTTTACAACAGCTATAAAGATATCATAAATGCAAAAATCTCTTAGTGGTCTGAGAGTCCTGTAATAGAAATGGTCCTCAGAGAGGTCACCAGTGGGTGAGGGGAAAAGTGCAACCTGCTCTGAGATTCTACCCTGAATTTAAGGTGTGGTTTCACACACTTGAGTCCCACTCCTACACTAAGGGAAGAATCTCGTGGTTCATTTTGTTGCCCAGGGAAATAAGGCTCTTTGCTCTGTCAGAGGGCTTTGTGTTTCTCCCGTGCCGCAGGAAAATCAGTATTGAGACCTTTCCTCCCTAAACACACTGTCCCAATGAAGCCACACTAATCAGGCTCCCCAGCTGCCTCAGTGGCCCTTCATGAGCACACCCCAGTTTATTGTTGTCTTTTTTGGCACTGAGATCCTAAAATGATGTCATATTCTAGCTGCAAGCTAGACAGACTCTGCCAGGAGTGATTCTCCTTCTGCCGTGAGGAAGCTGCAGAACTCCTGAAGGTCCTGCTCCATCTGCTGACACAGATCAAGGCACAGTGTAATGTCCATGCCCTAACAAAAGGGAAGTCTGCAAAGTTCTACCTCTTTGAGTATTACCAAAGAAAAGTCTGTGTCCAGAACCTAGAACAAGGTCCTGTCATTGACCACTCCATCAAAGATTTTTTTCAATAAGATCTCAGAGAAGCAGCAATTTTGTAATGCTACCTGTGCCAAATAGCACCCTGTGGTGGCACAATTTGTTTCTAGAAATACCCCTTGTAGCCTCCCTATATGGATTGACCATGTAGCAAGCATAAAGTAACCCATATGAAAAGTCATAAGAAAACAAAATAGAAATAGAACATAAATAACTGAAATGAAAAAAGGAAAGAAATATTCTATACTGTCAGAAAACAAATTACTCCTTGCCATTATCTTTACTGCTGATGTAAAGATGTAAATACCAACAGAATGTGAAGAATAAACAGGAATGAAAGCAAAATAAAGAAAGAATGAAAATATAACATTTGGTATTAAGGTAAAAGAGGAGTGATTTGACAGTCTACTGATGCAACAAATCAATACTCTTTGCCAAGAGACAACTACTTAGCCACAGAAGAAACAAGAACTATTCAGTGTAAATTTCACTTTAATTAGAGTGGGCATAGTGTGTTCAAACACCAAGTACTCTGCTGACATGAAGAACTGAGTTCAACTGAGTAAACAGATTTTGCCAAGAATAAAAGTATATATGGACATTCTGCTGAAATTGCCTTACTGTAGAGAATGTTTCTGTTTCAATAAACCAAATTAACAAAAATATCCTTTCAGCTATCTTTCTGTGAATTTCTAGTTACACCTTGTAAAAGGCATCCTTAAAGTATTAATGACTGCTGCCTCAAGTTAGAGTCAGCTGGTATTAGAAAAAAATACCCTGGATTTGTATTCATTAATTTCAACTGAAAAGAAGATTTTCAAGTACAATTGCACCAGTTTAACTGTTAAAAATTCGAGAATATACATAAATCAAGTTTCTCTTCCACCTGCCAGACTTTAGCCCCCAAGCACTTCCCACTTAGCAGTTGATGCAGAAAACATCCTGTTTATACCCTGAATTCTAGTAAATTGTGTATGACATCATACCTGTTTGCAGGAGTGAACTATAAAATGGCAGAAGATAAAAAATTCAGAGGCACTTTTAACACCTTTCAAATTATCTCTTGCAATCAGGATGCCAGTCTCATGCAGCAGCTGTTTTCCTCCAGAAGAAACCTGTGCCTTTTACCAAAAGTGTAGTGAACTGCTCTGTGGTTTTCCATATTCCAAAACTGCCAGATGGTTTTGAATTCTTCCCATGCCTTTTTAACAGGGTCTCTGCTGGAAACAACCACAGCATGAAACTCAGAAATTATAAAGAATCAAGTGCTGTGAAGCCATTCAGTGCTGGGGCTTTGATGCACTGAGAGAGCTCCCTGGCCCTGACCCACACTCTGCCCAGATCTCAGCACACACATCAGCTCCTGGGGGTGTCAGACCCTGCCCGAGTGGGGCTGGAGAGGGCTGGTCTCCATGCCCAGGAGGTGCCTGAGAGTCTCCATGCCCAGGGAGGTGCCTGATCCCCAGGGACTGCCCCACTCCTGGCCAGGGACTGCCTGGGGACACTGTGCAGCTCCAGAGGGCAGGGCCTCAGGAAGCCACCTGAGGCTGTGTCACACCCTGACATTCATAAGTAACTAAACAGATAATCTGCTCACTCTCCTGAGACAGCTACAGCACTGTCTTGCTACAGAAAATCAATGAATGGCATAATAGCCTCAGTTGTGCAACTCCTGTAAGAGCCAACACTGAAGTACACAAGCACAGTGATGCTATTGCCTGACAGACAGTACATCTCAGATCTTTGCCACTTCAAATATTTCAAGTGGGAGAAAGATGAAGGCAGATGAACATGAGTAGAAAGGCTATTTGATTACAGTTATGGTTAATCTTAACATATACCCTGTTAAACTGTGCAGCTGTTTTTTTTTTGTTTATTTAAAAGGTTTTCTGGCTCACTCACCAGCGTAGGCAGCTATACAGGACAGACTGTTTCTATAGTCCTGGAAAAGTACTCTACCAAAAATAAATGTGTTGATTATGCTCCAAAGGTTCTGCTACACCACAATAAAAGTAGAAAGAAGATAAAAATTAAGACAGGCCCATACGGTACAAAGTTCTAGAATAGGGAAGAAAATCTGTTTCTAAACGAGAATAACACCCAAACCAAAAATACTTAGATTCATGATTTCAAGTTGTATAAAACCAGGCATGTTTTATACATCTTTAGAACAAAGTTACATACAGATTTATAAAGGCTTTAAAATTAATATTAGCATTGCCCCTATGATATGCTGTGCTTCTGTGCACTAAGTAGTAAAGATCCTACACACCGCCTTCTTTTCTGATCAATAAGATGCCATACAAACTGTATGGGATCAATAAGATGCCATACAAACTTCCAGTTACAGGCATATGTCCAGCAGCAAAACAAGCATAAGCCACACACATTGAAAAAATAAAACCAAAATGTTCCTCCTCCTTCTCCTTATTAATGACACATTGATGATATAAGCAGCAGAATGTACTGGAGTAGTTGAAGAATAACTAAGAGAAGGCAGAATACTGAACTCACACAAATCTGCTCTCAAACACTCCGCTGCTCCCTAAATTAGGACTTGTGTATCCTCTCACATCAATTTTTAAAACAGGTCAAATAGTCTGGAAGACACTGAGCTCCATCAGGGTACTTGGCTTGGCGCCACAGTGAAACACAGGACTTAAAACAACACAGAATTCCTCTGTTGGTGCCACTCTTCAGGCACAGAGAAAACATCTGACTTAATTATTGGGGAAACAAGGGGCTGCTGTATTACCAATGCCTTAAGAGAGGACAGCACTGTTGTCAGAATAACTGCTTCTAATTCATATTCTTTGCCTCAGAGGAAATAAGTAGCTGGACAAAAATGCTGATCTGAATGCTTTATTCCTCCTCCTTTGCTGAAATCTGTATCACAGTTATCAATGACACATCCTTAAAGCTTTGGGCCAAGGCAAGGAAAGGAAAAAAATATGTTCTGACTCTAGAATCTTACCAAGTGATTTCCATGAGTCTGGTACAGGACTAGGCTTATTCATCTAAGAAAGGGCAGAGCTGGGATCCCAGCTCACTGTCGGCGAACAGAAACATTTTCTCTAAAACACAGATCATCTTTCATGGCTTTAGGTAAGTCCACAAACTTCCAGAAACAAATACTAGAAAGGCTTTAGGGTTTTCCTGAACAGTGTTTCTAACCTTACAGATAAGTTCATCTCTGATAAGTTAAATAAAATGGCTGAATTTCACAATATTTTGTAATTAAAAGAAAAGCAACATATCATTTCACTACAATTATCTGCAATGGTTGCACACTTCTCTATAAGCAAACATTATAAATCATGTAACACACACTTGAACTGCTTCAATGAGACATAGGAAGCAGAAAGTTTCATCCCCTAATGTTTTTCATTAGGCCTTAAATTCTCACTCTTAGCAACAAAACTACCAGAGGCACTACTCTCATCCCTTGTGAGCCATCTAGCCTTCTTGTGAGACCCAAGTTGCAGAGGGGCTGCCCAGGCACAACATCTTGCTCATCTATAGAATATCACATTGTAAACAGAGACTAACAAAGAATTACATTTTCAAGTCAAACAGATCTTAAAATATGCAATAATTCACCTGAAGAAAGAACATTATGCAGCTATCATAGCATTTACATCATGAATTGTAATAAGTGTTAGGAGTATGTCTCTAGTAGTCTACTGCTAATATGTTTCTTTTCCTGTTACACACACAGTTGCAGCATTTTTGCAATCCCAGGACACTGAATTCTAAATAACCAAAATATTACATTTTTGGTAAGAAAACGGTAGCATAAAAGTGGTAATAGTTTTATATAGAAAATCACTGTAGAGCTAGATGTACAACTAGAAAACAATATATGAAAAAAACTGCCTTGCAGCTACGACAATCAGTAGGGTAACTCATTCATCTTCTACCTGAATTTTCTTAGGAGTAAGAGCGGAATACCTTTGATAAAAACAGTCATGCTTGGCAAAAAAGTGTATTTATTTCCTTGAGTCATGACCGAATTTCACACCCTACCCTTTGCCAGATTCTTACAATTTCAGTCAATCTCATCAGTCTAACAGAAACACATCATCTTTGTCTCCCCCTTTCTCTAACAGAACCTCTCAAAACATTCAACATGTCATTGTTACCCCAAATCCTGTTCTTCTGTAGCATTTGTTCATCCACTTGAAATCAGCACAACCATCCTCATCTCCCAAATAACTGCACTCTGTCAGATGAAAACAATGTTGCTGTCTCTAGTTATTAATTCTAAGCCACCAAGTCATTGAAATACTGGAAATCATTGAGATCTGAAACCCAAGATCACAACTTCAAGCATATTCCAGGTACTCAAAAGTATATCTGTATTACTAGGTCTGTTAAATCCATTAATTCTTGGTTCTTATTCCAGCTCTCTGTGCAACACCAAGACCTTACCTTATCCATAACATTTTCAATTTTTCCTTTAGTTCACACTAATCACATAAAGATGCTTAATAGCATCATAGCAAAAAAAAGTCACTATAGATTTTATTTCATCTCTTCATAAATTCCTTCACTTTAATATGTACAAGCTATATTACATATTATTGAAATTAACCCTTATCTACTTTATACAAATAAATTTCTTCACACAGATAATTACTTCTTAAAAGCAACTTTAAACATCTCTTTCTGCCTGTATCAGACATCTCTAGGCACATTCTAGAGCATCTCTAAGAAGATCAACACAACAGATTGGGTGGTATTCACAGGTTCAGAAGCAATATCTTGTCTGCTTACTTGCACACCAGTCACAGCAAGTCCTGTGGCCTCCCCTACATTCCCTGGACAGAGATATCTCCAATGCTTTCAAATGTATTTTTTCCCTGATCAGAAAATATGATAAATGTTAATGGTACTCTCCCACTG